CCTGAGCCGGTGAGATTTGAACCGCTGACCTGCTGATCTAGCAGTAGCCTGCAGTGCTGCATTTAACCACTGCGCCACCTTGGCTCTTAAATTTAACCATTTAAACTATGCCAATAGTTCAAACTTCAACAATAAATAGCAGTCAGGCCTTTTATTTTAATCTGATATGATCTGCAGCCAATTCTATGTAAAATATGTTTTTTTTAAATTTAAACAACATTTTCATATTAATCATAATTCAGAAAAAGAATGGAAGCTACTAATAGTATACCCAGATGCTGTACAGTATGATCATAGCCACATAACCTCATGAATGAGATGATACTATATAATATAATTCTGGAATGAGATAAATTAAGCCAGGATATAAAACTATCAAATGACAGGATAGTGAACAGGAATTTTTACTCAAGCAACTGGGAGGCTCAAAATTTTCATACATTTTAGTGCCACATCAAACCTACAAAGCTCTGTGTCAATTTCTTCCATAAATAAAATCCCTTTACAATCTTAGGATATTCTGGGACATTATCAATATAACTTTTTTTTTCAAAATTTTAATAATACAGTGGTACCTGGTACTCAACTGCTTTGAAACTCATCAAATTTGGTACTCAATGCATTTGAAACTCATCAAATTGAATGCGAAAATATTGTCAGGTACTTATCAATTGTTTGGTACATCACAAGCTAGAACTTTTCACTGTCAGCTGCCATGGGACTCATTACATTATATCTTGTGGAAAAATTTATTTTGGTACTCATTGCAACTCCTGGAACCAATCAATGTTGAGTACTGAGGTACCACGTATATTTCAGGTTCAGCAAAATATTTGATTTGTTTTCTCTTCCTGCACAGAATTAGTCTCTGGATAATTTCACCAGATTTTTTTTTTGTGTGTCACACAGGCATAACATATCACCATGTGTCAATATTTTAATAACTGTTCAAACACAAACTATGGCTAATTGTTCAGTTAACAACAGAAATGACATTTATCTCTTTGTGGACCAAGGAACATCTATTGGTTGCCCAGGGAAAAACTGTTACTCTAATTTTCCACAATCATCAGTAAAATGGTACAAGGTAAGTTTTTTTTAAAGTAACGCCTCCTTTGAATCCATTCAATTGCTGTGCTTTCCACAACAAATAGCTTTGATTTGTTTGAAAAATTATAGAGATATTTTTTGTCACTGTACTACTGGAATATTTTCTTTGACCTCCCAGTTTAATCTTTTACTCAAATATTTCCTGGTTTCTTGAAAATCTAAGCAAGTTTGGATCTTGTGAGTAGTTGGATGTACATTCAAGATTAGCCAAAGTCAGATTCTGTAGGTGCTGCTACTGGTTGGGCAAACACAAAACCATTTAGTTTTAATTTTAATTAAATTTTAAAAGCCATGGTGGTGCAGTGGTTAGAATCAGAGGTGGTATTCAGCAAGTTCTGAGCAGTTCTGGAGAACCAGTAGCGGAAATTTTGAGTGGTTCGGAGAACCGGTAAATACAACCTCTGACTTGTCCCATCCCCATCTATTATCTGCCTCCTGAGTCCCAGCTGATCGGGAAGAAATGGGGATTTTGCAGTAACCTTCCCCTTGAGTGGGATGGGAATGGAGATTTTATAGTATACTTCCTCTGCCACGCCCACCAAGCCATGCCACGCCCACAAGCCATGCCCACAGAACCAGTAGTAAAATTTTTTGAATTCCACCACTGATTAGAAGGCAGTATTGCAGGCTAATTCTTCCAATTGCCAGCAGTTTGATCCTCACCAGCTCAAGAGTGACTCAGTCTTCTATCTTTCTGAGGTCGATAAAATGAGAATCCAGTTTATTGGGGGCAATATGCTCACCTGCTTAGAGAGAGCTGTAAAAAACACTGTGAAGTGGTATATACTGTAATTGTTATTGCTAATTGTTGTTGGAAAAGTTGGATGGGGAAGGTCATAGGATCTGGTTTCTAGTAGAATAAGATTTCACAATCTGGTAGTCTTTGGCTATAATGGATCACAATTTGTGCAGTTCCCAGCCTGCATGGTCAAAACTAAATTGGGATTCATATGAACAGGAATACCACATATCTGGAGTGCACTGGTACAGAGAAAGCTATTGCACGAAGAAAACCAAATTAAAACTCCTTTTTATTTCACTCAAACTTCTTTAATCATACCCTTCATGAACTATAATCATGATAGTTTTGTAATTCAACTGAGGATCAGAATACCAGTTGCTATGAAGTATCTTGTGGTTAACTGGAGAATTTGTATGTTTCAACTAACATAATATTTGAATTGTTCATCTTTATCTTCTTGTAGAATGGAATACAAGTAGAACTTAAAGAGAAAAGACCTGGCCTACAATTCTATCATGATAAACTAGTGCTGCGTTCTGTGTATGATAAAGATAACGGTACTTATGCATGTGATTACACGTTGATTGACCACGGTATACAATGGAAAATGAGAACAATACTGAATGTGCATGTTATCTGTAAGTTACTATACATAGTTCAGCATAATAAATCATTTCATATAGTGCTTTACATTTTGGCAGTGAAATATGTGTTATGAAATACTATATCAGACTTATTTAGAGTTCCTTAATTTTGTTAAATTAATTATATAGTAATATTCAATTACCATTTCAATTATTTTCTTATCTTTGTCATTCTTAACTGATCTAAGCAGTTGTGACATTCACTTTGAGCAATTTGATGAGATATAAATGTGTGTTTTATAACCCTAAAAACAAAAATTAGAAAAAAATGAGATCTATGCGGTAATTAAATAAATAAATCATTGCCCACTAGCAGTTTGAAAGCATGCAAATCTGAGTAGATAAATAGGTATCACTTCAATGGAAAAGCGATAGCTTACAGTATAGTTATGTTGCCCATATGACCACAGAAATGCCTTTGGACAATGCAGACTCCCTCCACCAAGAATGAAGATGAGCATCACCCCTAGAGTCAGAAATGACTGGACAGGGGAAATCTTTTCCATTACTCTGAAAATCATTAATTTTAATTTATATAAACGAATTGTTTTTCTTTGCTCTCTGATTGATTTCTGTTATCTATTAGTCCTATGGAAATAACTCTCTTCTGCTACTTGGGATGTCAAAAGTAGGGCTATATAACATTGTGTGCCTGGGTGGTCAGTTGGCTGTGTGATAGGATGTTTGTTTGGAGCTACATTTAAACTCTGAGCAGTTGATTGGTTCTCTTGTTGATTGGTCATTCAAATGGTCTAGTTTCTTACATATTCATATAAATCAACAGATATAAATCAATAAGCTTGTTAATTGCTCCTTTGGTAGACTACCAGGCTTCAATAAATTAATGTGTATGGTGGTGTTGGCATGGCCAATGATTTTTGTTCCTTCTCAGTCGAACTGAGAAGGTTTGTTGCAACTTCTATGGCTCCAAATGAACAACCAAACACATGACCAACTGACACACTGGCACACAAGACATATATAAGCTAAAGAAGAATAGGCTAAGAAAATCCTGCTGATGATGTTACCTAGTCTGATAACTCATGTCTGTGACTAAAAAGTTGTTTGATTATTTTCATCTAATTTCCATGTATTTTNTCGATCTTGCTGTGACCCCCTAGGAAAAGGTTATGCCCCGCCCTGTAGTTAATTCACTGCTCAGATGGCTTACAGATTTTGTTTTAGAGCAGCCTCTGCTGGTAAAATGAAAAATGGTACAATTCTCCAGTGAGATAGATCAGCATATTTTAAGTCAAAGTATAAGGTGGCATCGTAGAGTGCTTGACTGACATTGCAGAAACTTTGGTTTAGTGCCCTCTTTGTCCAGTAATGCACAATGTTGATGTGGGAAAATTATGACTTTTAGACATTGTTTGCAGGTAGCAGTAGCAATACCACTTCATAATGCTTTTACAGCCCTCTCTCTATGGTTTACAGAGTCAGCATATTTCCCCCAACAATCTGAGTCCTCATTTTACTGACCTTGTAAGAATGAGACTCGAACTGCCAGCAGTCGGCAGAATTAGCCTGCAATAATGCATTCTAACCACTGTACCACCACGACCGATATATAGTTTGTATGAAAGAAGAGGCATGTATATTTGTTTGATAGTTACAAAATTTTCATGTGTTCCTTCAATGTTATTTTTATGAGCAAGATTTTGTAAATAAGGAATTAGAATAAGAAAACAAATTAATTTTGTGTGAGAGGTGGGATTTTTTATTTTATTTTATTTTCATAACAAGATTTAAGCAAGAGCCTGTTTGAAGATAGTGGAGGCTCTGTATAAAAAGAAGTTAAATCCAGATCTAGTTCAGTGTTCTCATCTCATCAACCCACTAAGTAGAGTTCATCTATAGATGTAGGAAGTGGTGAAATTCAATTTTTTTTACTACTGGTTTTGTGGGCGTGGCTTGTGGGCTTAGTGTAGCTTGGTGGGCATGGCTTGGTGGGTGTGGCAGAGGAAGGATACTGCAAAATCTCCATTCCCACCCCACTCGGGGACCAGCCAAAGGTGGCATTTGCCGGTTCTTCAAACTACTCAAAATTTCCTCTACCGGTTTTCCAGAACCTGTCAGAACNCCAGATTGTTGGGGGCAATATGCTGACTCTCTGTAAACCGCTTAGAGAGGCCTGAAAGGCCTATGAAGCGGTATATAAGTCTACTGCTATTGCTATTACTGCTATTTGTTTTTGTGTAAAAAAAGTCCATAGCTACATGATTATTTTTTGAAGACCCTTTGTATGCACTACTTAATATTAATAATCTGTGAATTTTCAAGCCATATATAAAGAATCTTATAACCATTTGAAAATTACTCTAAAATATTTTCAGATCGTTGGAAAATATGCTTATTGTTTTTCCCCCACCCCCATCTATTTTTTTAAGGTCAACCAATTGATCTTGAATGCAAAGCACAATTTGGTTTTGAAATGAATGTTTCATCCTCACTAGAGTGGTACCAAGAAACCAATAAAAGCAAGCAACTGATACGGCAAGAGAGGTACGGAAATAAAGTATCTTGACTGAAAGAAGAGAGAGAGAGAGAGAGAAGGATGGATGGATGGATGGATGGATGGATGGAGGGAGGGAGAGAGAGAGAGAGATTGCCAAAATTTGTAAACCAGTGATTATCTGTCTGAAATTCCAGACAGATACATTTTCCAATGTTGTCATTGAATTGTATTTTTTAACATTGTATTATTAAATATATCTGAGTAATATGATTAAATGTAATCAGTTACTTTTAATCTCAGTTAGATGAAATCAGTTTAAATTTTTTAAACCCCAATTTTTTTAAAAAGAATTTTAATCCCATCACAGGTTTTTGGGGATGTGACTCCTGACATGTTATTCAAAGACAAAATGTGGTATTCAGTATGGAGATTGTTGTATCACTCAGACATAAAATATATATCTTCTCATGCATTTGCCACTATGAAATTAAAAATATCCAGTACATTCTCTATTGCCATCTCAATTTCCTTTAACTTATCCTACTCTGTGGATCTTTAATTCTGCTTTTATTTTTGCCAGGGGTTAAAAAGGACTTTGTGTTTTTTGCTTGTTCGTTTTTTATATTTGCAAATAAATATAGCAAGAAGAAAGGTATATGAACATGCAGATATCAGCATGTTTTAGTAGGTAGATTATGAAACTAAAACTTGCAAATTATAGGGTCAGAAGCATAGAAATGTGGCCTAGTATACATCTCCCTCTCCTCCCCCTCTCCCATCTATCACATTTATATAGCTACCCATATCTCAAAAGGCAACTCTGGGCTGTGTAGAACAATCAAATAACAAACATAAAATGCAACACATATAAAATACAAAATCCACATTAATAAATATCATAAAACCCAAATATTTAAAATTGATTATCCCTTTGTTCGTAACTTGCTATGTGGCTTATTTGATTTTAGGTCCATGACTTTTCCTAAGGTTAGTCATTTAGCTTAGCAAGTTTGTTTTGGGTTTAATTTGTCATTGGCTTTATTCAATCAGTTAGGTGTATTCTATAACGCATGAATTAGCTATAGGAATTGGGGGAATTAATATAAAGTGGGACAGTGCATCGATTGTTAACATTCTTACTGGAAAGATGGGTATAGAAGAAACATATTAGTGGCTTCTGGAAGACCATATTGATCAACCATAAATAGAGCTGTTTCTTGTTAAAAAAAAACATCAAGGGTTTCAATATGACTGGTAGACGTGACTGCCATGATTTTTTATTCTTTTTGTGTCTGATATAGTAAGTCATCTATACGTATTTAAAATATTTGTTCATTGGTATCATGAAAAGCTGCAAAATGTCTGCACATGGATGGGAGCATGACTGACGATTGATGAGAGCATTATTCTGTTTAGAGTTCATCCACAGGGACTGGATGGAGAAACCTTTACTCTTACCTTCAGACTGATGAAAGTAACTGAAGAAGATCTAAACAGCCAATTCATCTGCTTGGCCCAAAATTCTATTGGGAATGCTACTGGAGTGATCAAACTTAAGAGGCAAACAGGAAAAAGTAAAACTTTCAAACCTACTAAGACAATATCACTGCTCTACTTGACCTCATTAACAATTATTTTCTTGTTTCCTGAGCTGTTATGTTATGGGGTAAACATTTACATGAATTTCATGAACTTTAGTTGTAATTTCCTATTATAAAAACAGTTCCAGTGCCATTCTTTGATAGCTGATGTTTTTCACCAATACAATATTATCTAATGAATCCATATACTCAAGCACAGGGTCTCTAAAAGGGGCTGCCAGATCTCTGGGAAATTAGATTGTGAGTGACATGAAAACAACACATTTCCTTCCTTCCTTCCTTCCTTCCTTCCTTCCTTCCTTCCTTCCTTCCTTCCTTCCTTCCTTCCTTCCTTCCTCCCTCCCTCCCTCCTTCCCCCTCCTCTCTCTTCTGCAATGCACTATGAAGAAATACAGTTAATCCTCATTTAATGACTGCCTTTTTAAGCAACCATTCACATTTAAAATACTGAGGAAAAGTAACTTTGTAACCAATCCTGACATTTACAACCTTCACGGGTATGTGAAATAAAATAAAACCAAAGTAAGATCGTAAGCACACTCTCAATTTTACTTAGTGACTGCTTTGCTTAATGACTAAGTTGTAATTGTGAGGACTACCTATATATGTTTCTTAAAGGAAAATTTGACAACTAAATATATTTATCTTGGATAAAATTAAATAATCTTCCTTGAAGGAGGTTAAGACTTTTTGAGAATCTCATGAACAACTGATGCCACAGCATTAACTATACTCCAGATTTTATCTTCAGCACATCAGAAATCTGAGAAACAACTAATTGGTGTTTTAAGGCATCAACAACGCCATACTTTAATGGTTTCTAGAGAAATATAGCAACTTGCCCTGATAGAAAAACAAGCTTCTGCACTTCTTGTGTCTTTTCTCAGATGTTGGCATGAGAATTGATGAAATTCAGGCTGTAATAAATTGGCTGGAATCTAATACTGAAGAAATAATGAATTCCAATCCACAAAAGAGGATCTAAGTGGATTTAGATCTTCTAACTGTTTGCCTAAAACAGTCTAGGCCTTCATGGGCACCTCTATAAGTTTAGAGTTTGGGGTGTTTATATGAACGGAAGTACAGTTTGCTCATGCACCTGAATAGAACTACCTTCTGTGTTGTAAACATATCTACCTTCAATCAAACAAAATTTATTGCTCTTTGAAATACATCTATTTATTCAATGAATAAGTTCAGGTCACATCCACCACACCTTTTCCCAACTGTTACATTTCATCTTGAACTTCACCATTAATCGTTCATTTCATCATTAAGTTTGCATTATTTTTTATATATTTCTCTTTTCTTTTTAGCAATTCTTTTCTTGCTTACTTTGTGTGGCACTATTATAATACTATTTGGAGTGGTTTCAGGAGGCCTACTGGTTTATAGGCACTGGATTGAACTTGTATTATTCTATCGGAATTACCTAGCCAAGGATGAAACTCTGAGTGGTAAGTACATTTGATTTACAATAGCATTTATTCACCAATTTACTAATTGGAGAAGATTGGTCAATACTACTGCTTCTTATCATCTCTCTCTCTCTCTCTCTCTCTCTCTCTCTCTCTCTCTCTCTCTCTCTCTCTCTCTCTCTCTCTCT